TGCCAAATTTTACATTTATTAAAATACATACTGTTAATATAGTGAAATCAGAGAAATTATTATAGTTAGCATGATCATACTGTATACACAAAAATCAAAGAGTTAAAATATATGAATATATTACATTTATAAATTATGCACAATATCTACTTATTTTTCTCTTTGTATGGACTCCAAACTGTACTAAAAAATGAAAAGTCCATGAACCTATTGTCATACAGTCAGCTTTCATCGCACAAGGAATTCAACAAACAATATGTTAGACACCAATTAATCTAGAAAATATTACAATACGAATTTTGAAAAATTAGCAGAAATATTGTCTATTTTGTTTCGAATACTTATCACTATTCTGAAGTGTTCACTATACAGAAAGCTGATAAAAACTAGTAACATAGGATGCTAACAAAAATATATCTAAATTATTTCATGGTTATTTGTTTCTTATACTACGAAGTTTTCAATTGTGAATGATTTTAAAATATCTGAAATCCTTTTTCTCCGATCTGTGTACTAAATATTTAAGCTTTAGATGATTATTCATATGAATTTATAGAAGACATCGATTAAGTCTTACCTTTTCTAATTCACTGATATCAACCAGATTTTTTAGAATACAATAGAACGTTAAAATCTTAATTTTTAATTATTATTTTCTATTATATTTCAGATAGGAAATTCATTGACATCAATGGAAATAAGATATTGTAAAAATGTTCATGACAAACAGGTTATTTTTCAAGACATGCAACCGGAAAGTTTCATGCTGAATAATAATCATATATCACGAACGATCAATAACGAAGAAAGCAATATCTCATACCTAGACAGTAATGTTAATTCAACTAAATAAATGAAAAACTTCACAATCGTGAGAAATCCAATTTTGATTGTTACTATTAACAACAGTATTAATGAATAATTTCATCGTCAAATATGATGATGAGTGAAGAAGAAAGGAAAAGTCGAAGATCTATTGAAACAATCAAATGAAAATCTGCACATATTTTTAAATGAAACGGTAACATTTAATCAACAATTACAATTTCATTCAATCTAGGAAATTCTTTTATTTAAATTAACGTTGAACAAATTGAGATTCTCTAACTGTATATTCTTTCAATTTATCAGCAGTAACATGTGATTTTCTTAAAGTTTTTTATACAAGTTCCCATTAATTCTTAGAAATATTCATCTTGAAAAAAGTTACTTCGATATTTGAATTTTTCTTAATCTATACGTTCGTCTCAAATTAATTGAATGTATTTCATCCTTATTTTTTCACCTCTAATTCAAGTTTCGCTTCACTAAATATACGTCCCTTTTGTCTAAAAACTTCATATTAATCTATTTTAATCTTTTTTTTGGAATCGATAATTCAACAGAAAAACCTGTTATATTAATCGATCATCAATTTAACCTATCTCTGGACAAACAATCAGACTTTAAAAGAGAGTTCATGAGAGGATCGAGGATCATGCCACATATCGAAGCACTCGTCAAAATTTAATTTCTTGATTTTTTGTTTTCATCTTAACCAGCATCATCTGAAACCTCTATATCCAAATTGAGGGTGGGTGTGGGTGTGTGGGTGCAAGTATATCAAAGGAAGATCCACACTCACATTTACATCCACACCCTCAAATGTGCACTCTACTTGCCTTGAAGTCCCACTCATTGATCACTGAGTAGTAGAAATCAAATTCTAGGAAAAATGATTTTCTTGGAGTAAATCAAGGCGAAGAGATCAAATGTATGATTTATTCGTCTCTATGAATGTGCAGTGTCGGTTTAATGACCAGCAGTGCCATCGAGCCATTAATGCACTGACAATGACCTCCGCGGATTGCAATTTAGATTATAGAGTGCAATATGTTGCATATAGATCTTAGTCAACAGTAATTAGGATCGATGTCAGTGTTGCTACACTGCCCTGAGTTTGGGCGTCCTCACTGTCAGTATTGCATCCTTCAGTGTAAAATCGCACATCCCTACTCGTCTCTAAATCCTATTCGTTTAACAATAGTCTATAACAGTTCGCTAGGATACTTTTTACGTCTACATCTTCTAGAAAAATTCATCTATATCATTCAAATTTTGAAGTACACATAATCTCGGACTGAAATCCGAGGTTTCCGCATTTATTGTTTCTTGATGTTTTATTAATCATTTTGTAGCTCGTGAAATTCTCTATCAAATGGTATATAAGAGTTGGGGTTTTAATTGACTTTGATAGGAAAAGTCTTTTACGAAAAGGGCGATGGGTTGATTTTCCCCTAGGAAGCCATAAGGAAAAATGGGTATTTTTGCAATAACTCAGAAATGGCTGCGCCGATCCTTCTCGTCTTCGAACTTGACAGAGATATTGTTGAGAGTAAACTGTGTAAAAAGTTTCATCGTGATCGGACTCTCTTTTCAAAAGTTATCGTGTAAATATATGGACGGACGGACACGCTGACTGCTTCTCGAATGTACTCATTTTTTGAGTGCACAGAAACGATTCTAAAACAACCTCTATAATCCTGCTAGATGTTGTAAAAGCATTTGTCCTAATAGTGGCATTTGTTTTACCTATGAATATTCGATATTGATATCTATTTATTCGAGAATATGTTGTCAAGGAAAAAAAAGATCTTTTCTTGTGCTGCTCTTATTCAGAAAAAATGGTCGTTCTCCACTATAATATGACAGAAACAAAAACGGGTACATACTGTTTTTCCTCATCATATGACGAGTAAAGTGACATAAAAATGTTGGGGTAAATGCGAGTCTAGGAATAGTTGATGCATTTTTGGCAACGCTCAGCCAATTTTTCAGGGGGTAGCGTCTTGTTGGGCTCAAGAGTCGTTCGAGGAAATCACATAGGAACATTTTGAAATCCACATTAGTAGATGCAGTTTTTCGCGCTGCGTCGAATGAGCACATTTTCGAAGCGCTTACATAACAATATTAATGTGAAGCAGTTAGATTTCGTGTAAAACCGAGTATTTTTTTTACATAGGAAAAAGGTGAATTTTCTGCATGTTTTTTAAAGAGTTTTTTAAAGATTTTAACCAAAAAAATGGTTTTAAAAGTTTTTTAAAATATACAGTTTTGTAGAGCTCGTTGAGCTCTATCAAACCATGTAAAAATATCACAAAAAAATTTTCGTCGAGTTTTGAATTATTCGCACCTTAAATCTAATACTGAACATCAAATTATTAAAAAAAGAACAGATATTATTCTTCTTTGAAAATTTATTTCTTTGCTGTGTTTTTTATTGCAAAGATAGATTTTTCGTAATGTTCAACCAAGAGCTATTCTAAATTTTGAATAGTTCAAAAAGGCTACGTAAAGACTAACGATAATACAGTGAATACGACTACTTTGTTTGGTTACTTTTGTGCAAAAGAAATCTCGTTCTGTTTCTAATTTAAATAATTATTAGTATGGATCTACATTTCGACAAGTTGATAGTGACTGATTATACTATTTACAATATCAAAAATGATTTCAGTTTGTACATTGTTGGTATAACTGTAGTTTTTAACAATAAAGTAACGTTCGGAAAGGAAAATTTGCTTCATTTAGAGATGAGGAAAGTGAAAATCTAATTTAATACGTTTAAACAAGACTATGAATGAAAGTAGAATAAATAGTTGTTTCATTGGATTATTTTAGTTGAACGGTTTGTATACACATTTTCTGTTCTTACAGTACGTTTTAATGTTCGAATTCATATGTCGACTTGATTAAAATTTATCTAAATTATAGTTCCTTAGATCTAAAAAAAAAGAATATAAACGAGTGCATTAATTATAACTGTAATTCAAGGCATATGAAGCAAATGACGGTTCTCAATTTTTTTCCATTTGTTATATACTACACCATTGTTTGAAAAACGTTGTGTAGTCTTTTAGAAAACATTCGTTTCACATCGTTTGTTTTAGCAGATGTGAAACGCATTAATACCGATCAGTTTGATGCGTTTTTTTCGCCGAAATTTCCACGATAGGTGACTAATGGCCGTGCAGTTAGACTAAGTCGATGAAGTAATATCTATCCAAAATCAACATTTGAATATCATTCTCTTTTTTTTTCTACATTAAAAGCAATTTTTAGAAGAAAAAAGTATTTTTATAATGGAAAAAGCATCGTCTAAGGAATCTATTGGTAAACAGCGATAATCAAAACCAATATCGAGTAAATGTAAAATAAATGGAACTTCATTTATATATTCATATTATGATGTTGTGTCATGCAATTCATGTAAAGTATTTTTCAAACGAAATACTGTAGAAGAATAGGGGAATTAAAAATAATTGTTTCTATTTTGATTATATTCATTTTTTATTTTTTATTTTACTGAAAAATCCAATACAAACAACATTAACAATTGTAGTTAGTTTAAATGAATCTGAACATGTTAGATTTATTTTTAATTGTCTTATTTTCAAAATAAAATCATGATAGTTTTTAGCTAAAAGTCTGACGAAGGGATTTATTATTTTTTTTTGAAAAATAAAAAAAAAAATGATTATAATCGTTTGTCCCATTACATTCAAAAGAAAAAATTTCGAAATTTTTATAACAGATATATCTAAAGATAAATGAATAGCAATGACTCTCAACTCAAAATTTTCAATTATTTTCATTTCAGATATATTAACATCATATAAATTGAAAACAAATGACAAGGGTGCGGGTGTGGGGTGTGAGACAATCAAGAAAACAACAACAACAACAACACCCTCATTCATCATACTTTCTTTTATTTTTACTCGTTTAGTACGGAATAGATCGTATGTAGGATGTAACAGTTGATGAATGTTATCCTTGTGTCTGATTGACTTGTCCGATATGTTCTCTATTGATTTATTTCTCGGTTATCATTATATATTTATAAATAAAATATTGTTAACAAGTATCTCAGAATGTGTTTGATTACAATTCTTTGCTATAATTATCAATTATTTTTACAATTTCATTTAGAAAAAGTAGATTTTTGGAAGACTGCTGGACTATTGACAAAAAACTTCTGTACGGTTCGCTTGATTATCATATCGAAGATCGGTATCATTTTGAAAATATTTCAAATAATATCGATAAATCTCTGGTGTATGTTTATGTCCAACTAAAGTAAAATTTTTTATAATGTCATTCTTTGTGATACCACATTGAATTAATGATTTAAATGTATCCAATGATTTCTTATTGGTATAGTTGCCGATAACACCAATACCTTTTAGAAAGCAAAAGAAAATGATTTGAATTCTCGAAATTCTATCTTGGGAGTCAATTGAACACTTTCGCAATAAAAACCTTTTAATCGTACAAATCAAAATTCATCTAAGATTTTTATTAATTATTTGTAGAAAGATTATGACAAGATTCAGATTAAATTGACAAAAACCTAAGATCTTCTGTTCTCGAAAGTTTAAAAAAAGGAATATATTCTTACCCAATGATCTTTGATTATAAGCTATACAATGTGCACCCATATATTTCCATCCTCTACCTGTATATATTTTTTGTTGATCATCATTATCATGACATATGAGAAAATGATAACCAATATCTACATAGCTTCGGTTATCCATTTCATAATTTTGATATTCTTTTATGTATTTGATACAATCTCGTTGATCGATAGTTGAATTTAAACCTGCTAATTCGTGTACAACAATATGTTTAACCGGATATGTTGTTAAATTATTACGGATTCCATAAGGACGTGCATTCCAACTTGATCGATTTAATATATTGGGACAACCTAGAGAAAGTCAAGATCAAACATATCGAAGTTTTTCGTTTTCAAAAATAGCACTATGCAATGTTTCTCTTTTAATACTTCAGTTTTTTGCACATTTTGTGGCGTTTAGATCGGTCAGATCTTGCGCAATCATTTATAAGCATTTGTTTTAATATATTACTACAAAAAGAAATCTAATGGTGTTGAGACTGGTGATCATCAAGATCATAAAATCTATTCACCTCTTGCAACTCATCAGTCATCGTTCGAAAATATAAAGCGATCTCATAAACTTTGTAATCATTAGACTTGATACAATTTAACTTATTTTTCTAGTTATATATCAAACCAAATGCCTAAAAACAATAGCACGATATATCCAAGAAACTGTAGCATTAAAAAAATAAAAACTGCGTAGTTTGTTTTGAAATCGAAAAACGATTGATTTTTGTATTTCCGTCGAATATAATAACTTTGAATCGTATCTGTGAAGTTTACTCATATAAATAAAAACTTCACAGTAATATCTATCATTTAAAAAACATCGTTGATTAAGTTCGATAAATAGTAGAATTATATAAATTTACTATTCTTTCGGCCTTTTGGAACATCCTACATCAGTAGAGATTTTATATTTTTGCTTGTTAGGATGTTATTTTTGAAACACAATTTATAAGGAGTGTTGAAGTGTACAGGATAGAAATTTTGATTCATTCTGTTGACAGATATCTTAGCAACGTCCCTCTCTCTATTATAGATATCAAACAACGTCTGCCTTCCTGTCACAGACCGTGACAGATGCCCTAGTGTTGGTACCCCTTCCTTATGGAAACTGACGTACATACTCAGAAACCTGAAATCTACTACAGGATTAATGTGAAACATAATTGAATTTGAGATGTTTGTTCTTTGTCCTTCTTTCACGTGCACTAACATATTCCGACGAACATCTATTATTGTCGGCATAGAATAACAACAAATGGTAATTCACAATCGAAATATAACTATATTGGCAAATTGCCTTATTTACAATATGCGCAGCACCATCATGTTTCGCATTTTAATCTCACAGAGATTGCGCTAATAGTTTTTTTTCACTATCTTTCTTTTACCTGGTGGTAATGGAGAATCGACATCTAGTGGGAGCGTTGTCGAATGTTTCGTAGAACCCTTTTTTATAACAAAAATAAAAATGACTGTAAAGCTTAAAACCAAAAGTATAGCTGAAACCAAAAGTCCAATGATACTATAAAGAAGACATTTTCGCTGTTTATATTTTTCATATTCTTCAACATTTTTTATATCATCATCAGCTGATGAAAATGATGATTGTCTTGACGTATTATTACCTAAAAGTTTAACAAACCGAATAGAAAAACTTAATTTTCTATATATAAAAAATCCATCTTACTTTCTGACTCATTTTTATTATCAATTGGATCTTCACATTCTTCTAATTCAATTTCAATTGAAATTGATGCTGTTGGATTATCAAGATAATTTCGTTTAATTGATGTTACTTTAAAAACAGAAAATGGAATAATTAAAATTTCTTTTTCGTCCGGTCTCGTTGATAAACTTTCTATATTGATAGCTGTTGAATTTTGTTTGATTAAATATTGACATAAACATGAATATTGTAATATACTATGATCATTAGGAGTATGTCTCATTTTAGATTGTTGACCATCACCAGCAAACATTTTAGCTACTTCATGATCAATAGATGCCGATAAAAATGCACGATTTAATATATGTTGATTTAATTTATATTGATCCAAATCATTTTTTGTTATTCTCATACCACGATAACATATGCCTTTATATCGATATTTAGGTAAATTTGGATTATAAATAATAAGGGTAACAATGTGAATTAGGCAATTTACAAGGCGATAATTTGATGAAAAATCTTTTGTTTTATCAAAATATTCTAATACATACAAAGCCAAATGTTTATTTAATACTTTATAAAAAAAATCTGTTAATGTATAAGCTTTTATAAAATATGTTAAATAATCTTGTTTTTCTATCGCTTCTTTAAAATATGCTTCAATAACTTCAATTTGTTTAGAAGTAATTTTATCTTTCGAATTATTGATATTATTACATTGATTTGTTAAATATTCCTTCAAATAATAATGAATAACTTCAGCTAATAATTTTGACACTAAATTATTGTTATATGTTTTGTATAAGTCAATAGCTCGATGAAATTCGCGTCGTTTTCCAAGTAGATCATTACCTACCATTGACCATTCAATACAATTATAATCATTATTTGAAAATAAATTTTGATATTCTAGAAATAATTTCTTTATTTCATCTGTATAAGCTTCTTCGTAAGGTGTTAAATCATGTCGTAAATTTCTTATAGAATGTAATGCTCCATATTCTAATAAAATTTGTACAACATCTCGATGTCCATAATAACATGCTACATGTAAACATGTTGAACCAGTTGATGTGTGAATTTTATTGATTATGCTTGTATTGCGAATAAATGGTAAAATTTTTTGAATTTTCTCTATTTCATTTTCTTTACATAAATGATACAATGAATTAATATTTGAATCATCGTTGTCATCGCTTGATAATAATGGTAATAACATTGCGATGATTGAAACGAAGAATAGAACTTTCGACAAATACAAATTTACTTTTAACGTGTTCTGTGTACTAATCATAAAAGAACAAGAAGAACAATATTTTATAATATCAACTTATCTCTTGATATTTTATGGTATTTTAAACTTAATAATTCAGATAAGAACAGTACGATACTTATCAAAACGAAATAAATATATTTGCTGATTGAATTTTTTATCTAGATGTTTTTTTCATTGTGAGAAAAAGTATTTATATTTGAATGTATATTTTTTACTTTTGATAAGAAGAATTGTGTAAATAATAAAGAAAAAAGGAAGTACGTTAATACTTGATCAAGATTATACCATAAAAAATTAAGATATTATTTGTTTTTTATTGTCACAAATACTGAATCAAAATAAAGAAAATATTGTTTAATACTTTCTTCTCGTATTCCATATGATGGTAAAATTACACATAAAGAAAAATGCTACATAACATCAAACAATATTTAATCTTTTCTAATCGGCACTTTTTATTGTTTTGTACAAACATAGAGAAAAAATAGCAAATTAGTTCTCTTTTGCGTTCTCTCATTAAAAATCAGCTCTGTATCATGTAGAAAGTTTAGATATGTATCTAGGATTACTGATTAAGGAAAAGATGTTGGGAGCTTCCTCTCCCGGAAATTTTGGGTCCTTGCTGTCAAATTTGTTTCGTTACATTTCTGCATTTTTTTGTTGAAGAGAAATTTTTCTCATCTTCCTGTAAGCAGCAATAAAATTTAAGAAGATAAATTTCACAACATTCCTTTTATGTAATGAAGGCAAATAATTAATTTAATTGATCAAATGAATGAAAAATATTTACACCATTGAGATATTCAAAACATTCAATTATTATTTAGTTTAGTAATAGTTCAAAATTCCTATCTGCTTGTATTGCGCTCACAATGAATAGAATTTATGAATTCAAACCAACGTATATTTACCTTTCTGCATTAAAGATATGTATATGAGGGTTCGTTGTGAAGGTAATTCTGACTCACGTGATAAACAAAAAAAAAATGAAATTTCTCTCTTTTTTGAACTGAAATGGTTCATGACCAAAAAATTTTGGCAGTGTAGCCTTTTGTGGCAAAAATGAATATTTAAAATGTTATATTTATGAATACAATTTGTTATCTGTACTAAAACATTTAACAAAATTATTAACTACAAGTAACGCTCGTCAGCATGACTCGCTTCACCCTCGACTGAAGGATTAGCTGCAACCAGTGACGGCTTGAGGGGGACGCTTAGGGTGATCGCCCCCATTCGAAAAGAAAATTTTCGATTTTTTCCAGCAGACAAGCATGAAAAATAGGGCTTATACTACCACTTCTAAGCTTTAAAATTCACTTTTTGATGAAAATCGCCTCATATCTAACGGATCGCACCCTATGAAAAAAATCCTAGATCTGCCGCTGGCTGCAACCTAATTTTGTCATGTGTGGCTATTGGTATGAAAGTCTTCTTTACACTAATACTGACACCAACACTCGTCTTCATACCCCACACCTGGACACATAAACCCACCCAGACAGTAAAAATAGGTAAAATAACATGTAATAACGCCTGAAAATATGCGCTTTTTACGTTTTCAAACGCAAAAAATGTTTTTGTAGAAAAAATTGCGAATCTGAAGATAGGAATGCTTGCAAAGTTACCTTTTTTTTCGAAAAATAAAAATGTTCTTTTTAGCGTTAAAGTGTGCGGTTTTAACGCGTTAAAAACCGCATTTCAACGTTAAAAACAATTTTTATTTTTTGAAAAAAATAAGTTTGCAAGCATTATCATCTTCAAATTCGTAATTTTTTCAACAAAAACTGTTCGCGTTTGAAAACGTAAAAAGCTCACATTTTAACGCGTTATTACATGTTATCTTATCGATTCTTACTTCCTGGGCAGCGATACTCACAACCACTCAACAAAAATTAACAGAACAACATTATACCACCGATCGCTGTATCTGACCGAAAAAGCAGTCTATACTTAGCTTTCTCAGAGATAAGGATTCACAACAATCTTGTAAAAGTGTGCTATGGTCTTTGAAATTTGTACTGAAAGAATTCATTGCCTTGCTAACACATCAGCTAATAGTACTGTTCAATACAGCGTTTGCGAAAGATATACGGGTACGGGTTTAGTTGAAACTTTGGCTTAACATCAGTCATATTAGGTCTAATCTGTAATCGAACTACCATACTTGAAAGCAGCTCCTATTTAAAGTAGCTGTAAGAAGAGATAGATAATTTGAACATATCCCTATACCTACCAACATTCGAATGAGTACGTAGAAGAAAACATTCCATTAGAAAACCCTGTTTATTTCATTCAAGTCTCATTTCAATAGGATAAATATAAAGTTTTCAAGTAATCTTTTCAGTCTAATTCACTATACCTATAGTTTTACATGCGAAAAAGGCGTAATTACGGTTTGTCTTCAAAAATTTTCTCAGTTCTTAGCAACGGGTGGTCCGTATTCAAATCCATTCGATATAGACTGTCGATCCTCATTGGGTCTCTCTCAACAGTTTGAGACCTTTCGTAGAATAAGCGTCTAGTGCAGCGGCTAGTCGCTCGTCGGCGCCACTCATGGCTGGCCGCTGCTATTTTCTGCTGTATTTCTCTACAACATAATTCTTCTATATTTACACTTCCACTAAACTTGAACTCCGCTTCCTACAAAAAATCAATCGATACCATATTCATTTCTTCAGAGGCCACGTTACAAAAGAAGCTCATAACAGTGATACCAAAATGCAGAATAGGGTTTGAAAACTCTACTAGAAATTTGTATAGTTTTTAGAACACTCATCGATAACGCTGTTTGCTATAGAGTTCTCTAGGAAGGTAGAAGTTCAATCAACCTCTAGCTGAAAATAAATCATGTTATATCTGACCGTAAAGCGAAATATCATACATACAAGAATCTCTTCTTCAAACCAGCAATAAGACTAGACAAGTAACTTTAATATATGAGTATAAATTCAGATCATTGAATCAATACAAAAAAAAGAATATAATGAAAGAAATACTCTTATATTTTATTCATGTCCACTGTGGGCACGACAAATATAGAGTCTTTAAATCGTGTTTTTCGTGTAATGACCTATTGAGCTATTGTGTCCAGACACAAAAATCGTTTCTCATCCTTGACTTCACATATTTTTGCATCTGAGACTCCTTCCTCAAACCTATTAGACCTCTATCGTTCTGTTTATTAAATAAAACTCAAAACTTTGAAAGGGCACTTCTAGAGATAATCCACTGCAGCAGCTAGTCGCTCGTCGGTGCTCCTCCAGGGCGCCACTCGCGGCTAGCTGCTGCCAAATGCAACCCCATTTTTACATAACATCATTTCTCTCTGTTTCCAATTCGTTCAGGATTAATTTATTTCAAAAATTCATTACATCTAGAACATTAGATTTATTAGCAATAATTTTCGAACAAGACTTTTCTCATGAATTATTTCTGATTTCCTCAAACTGACTGTACAGTAGGAAAATCAGACTTTTCTATGAGTTCCTCATTAAGAAAGTCTTAGTGCACAATTTTTCAAAATGTATAGCTGATACACAGATCTTTAATCACGTCAGTCGGCAGTATGCTTGCTATGTGAACGATTAGTAGTGCATTGGTGCCTCTTTGGAGCACCAAGGAATGCCAAGTCCCCCTTTATATAAATTCACTTGAATGACAGGTCCTTATCGTCCCCTTAATACAAGAACTTGGACATCACTCACATATATATTTTCAAGGTGACTTTCTTCAAATAACAGAAACTAGGCATTGCATGTACCGAAATTCTTGGAAAAATGCAAGTTTAAAAGTATTATTTTTGCATTATAGTGATAATAACATATGAAATATTAATACCAGGTACCATCATAAGACCCATGCCTATACTCCCTCGACCGATAAATTTAAACACTCGACAGAAACTCTTTTGGGTGGGTGTGTGGGTGGGTGTGGGTGTGGGTCTACTCTTTTCTTAAACCCACACCCACACCCCACACCCATAAGATAATAAATTTATTTTATTTAAATAATAATCAATGTATTATTGCAATAGGAAAATAATCTCGCAAATATTTCGAATAAGTTTTTTCTCCAACTGAAATAATTTCATTTATTTTGGCACAATTAATTCGTATCATCTCGTGCAAAATTGTGTGTGACTTTTTCTAATAATTTATAATTGATATTAAGATAAATATTATTATGAAAATATGTTTTTGTATTAAATAAAAATTCTTGTATATAATCTTCATGAACTGTTGAAATATCAACTGTAATAAGATGATTATATTTAACAATTGATAAATTGTTATCATTATTTATTGATTTATAAAATTGTTTAGATTTTTGTGTCTATGATTATTAATCAATGTTAAACTTTCCAAAAATGGAAATGATTGAGAAATTTTAATAAAAAATTCATGTTCAAAAGGATGTTCATCATATAATGATATTAAACGAACATATTTATATAATCCACTTGAAAAATGATTTGTTATATTTTGATAATATTGCATTTCAGATGGATATGAATAAACATGACATTGACCTATTTGTTTTTCAAGAAAATAATCAACATAAGATATTATTTTATTATGCTTAAAATCTATGACTGTCTCTTGAATATCTTCTTTTGATAGTAAATTTATTTGATTATTAATAAACATAAGTGAATGAATATGAAATGAAAATCTATTTAGTTGCGGAATATTTGACAATATATTTGTCTTTATATGATTTCCATCAATAAATCTATCTTTAACATAGAACGTAAGATATAAATCAAGTTTTTCTAAATTTGTCGTTCGATAAAGAAGTGGCAAAATTAATTCTTCATACGATGATATTTCCCAAGGACATGATAGAACAAAACACTTTAGATTTGGAATCTTTACCTACAAAAATAAAGCAAAAACAAAAAAAAAATATGAAATTTATTTTCTTTTAAATAAACAAACTTTATTTTCAGGAAAAATCTATTGAAAGAACTTTAGCCAAATCAACATAGAGTGTTTGTGGTTGACTGAAACGACCATCAAGAAGATAAAGACATTGTGACAAACTTTGAACCTTGATATTTAATACCAAAATATTTGAAGAAGAGAAACTTCGAGATGGAACATCAATTAATAATCGAACAATATTTTCAAATGATGATTCAGAAAATGTTAAATGTGTTAAATTGATAAATATAGAAAAAATACGACTGCAGATTTTCACTTTTGTAAATAGATCTTTTTTATTTTTATCAATTGTTATAATAAGTCTTCTTATTTGCTTTTTAAAAAAAGCACATGAAACATTTTTATTCAAATACAGAAATATACAATCAGAAATCAAAATTTCTATTAATTATTCGAAGTTTTGGGTGACAGATTTAGGAAGGTGATAGGGCGATTGACCCTAGCCCGAAAAAATTTCCGCTTTTTCTCAGCAGAAAAGTCTTAAAAATAATCTGATACTACGTTCTATGATTATAATCGTCCCTAGTTCCCTCTACTTGAAGTGTCCCTAGTCTAGAGCCCATCGAGTCCGGGTCCAAAAACTCTTGGACCCGATAGACTCTACCCTAGTCATAACGAATCGTCCCACATCATAAAAAATCTAGATCCGCCACTAATAAGTTCATATTGAAATATAAATTAGAGAAAATTCTTTCATATATTCCATGATCTATTTAAGTATATTAATAATTTCAGGAAAAAATTCGTATTCATTTTAAGGTGTTTTTTCATTTGTTTAGAATTAAAAGAAATTCTATTGAGATTTTCTTACCAGTAAAAAGACGTCTAGCTGTCTTTACTTTCATATTATATAGGCCAAGTTCATATAAGTTCGGATAATCTGCAGCACGTAGAATATGTTTCGCAGATGATGATTCAATGTAAAACCATTTGATTTTCATAGATATATCAGGTAAAATTTGTAAACAATATCGATTAAATATAACATTTGAAGAAAATTTCTTCGATGACCATTTGACAAAGTTCAGACTATTTGTGAATAATGGATCACGTATTATATTATTCAATCGTTTATTAACACCATGCAAAGAATAAAGTATATCAAGATTATCCAATTTTTCAAAAATAAGCAAAAGAATTTCATCGATTAGATCATTCAATTCGAAACATGAACATGAACATAACATATTTATTTTTACTTATCTATTTATTTCATCTGAGAAAGGTCAATATACATATATATGTGATCCAACGCACTAGACAAATAAAGCTAAATTAAGATATGTGATTGGTGTTGCTACTTAGAAACATTAATCACATTTCATAATTAATATTCTAATTCGTCATTTTATTTGACCGATGTCGTCAAAAAGAACAAGAATGATGAATATTACTCAATATATTCTTATGTGATGATATTTTTGCTTTTGTTTATTTCTAATAATTCATAAGTATATTTACCATAGATAAAAATATGAATTAGATCACAATTCATGTACTTTTCTATGAGAAATATGTACTAGAAAC